CCATACTGACCAACCTTCTGGGTCAATATGGTCTCCAATATTGGACTGCATAAATACAGTTCGTGAGTACGCTTTCCATGGACGGCCCAAATATGTCTTAACCGACCCTTTCACTGGTGCAAGGTCTGAGCTAGCAATAATGTCACAATTTTGGATTGAAGTTCCTGTATTTTGGTTTGGATCTTCACGACCTTGAGCTGTAACCATGTTCTTTTGTCCACTCCCGGGCTTTCGTGCTGCGATTTTTGAGTTTTGGAACACAACTGCAGCATTACCAAAGATGAAATCAACAGTGCCAGCGATGTAACAATCTCTATAGAATTGACGAAGGCTGTGAGTGTAGAGGGTGTCTTGGAATGCATCTATTATGCAACGATTGATGACTGATTGATCTGCTCCTACACGAAGCGCCACTGCTTGGTGTTTTGCTGGTCCTGCCGTGTTTTGAAACTGCAGATCTTGGGCTATGAATCCATCCCCAACAGCAGCTGCATTTAAAAAGAAGTCAATAAAAGTGCAATATTATTATGTTCTGTGGATTTCAGTTTTCATAGCTTTAGCCAAAAGCTTCCAGTGACAGTTAAAGATTGCATTATAAGTTATCGCCAATTGACAAAGGCGTTCGTCCTTTGTTTTTTTGCAGACAAACCTTTTTCGCAAAAGTTGTCCAAAAGGGCTACTGAATTTCAAACTTCTTTGTTAGAATGAAACCTTTCATTATTTCAAAAGATAATTAAGCCAAAACAGTAGTGAGAAAGGAGATTTTTTTACCAACGGTTGCAGAGTTGAAGGTTGTTGCACCATCGACAACATTCAAGTTGCCAGTGATAATAGTAGTATCCATACCATCACCAACAAGCATCACATTTTTCTTCTTTTTCCCAATCTCAACATTCTCTTTGTATATTCCTTTTTTCACATATATAACATAACGAGTCTTGCCATTATCTGGAGCAGATGCAACTGCTTCCTTTACAGTCTTGAATTTTCCGCTACCATCTTTAGCCACTACAACATTGGCTGTTATGGCATTTGCAGAAAGTTGCAAAAGCCTTCTATCATTAGAAGTAACCCATGAGGGCATTCCATCAGTAACTGATGGAAGATCCATGGTATTGGATGGTGCCATTTTAACCATCAAGGCTAAGGAAGTCTTTGCCCTTGCTATCAAATCCTTCAACATGGGCTTCATAATGGACTGGGCCTGAGCATTTAGCCCATCTTTGCAAGTAACATGGTTAGTCAGAATGCTACTTAGCCATGTATGGACATCAAAATGGGCTTGGGATGATAGGTTCCCAAGTGACATCATAGAGTCCATTAATCTGTCCCTTGACAAATCCATTAACTCTAGACAATCTGCTAGAGCTGCTTGCTCCTTGTCATTATTAATCCTACTGTTCACATTTCTCACTAAATCGATCGTCTCGTGGATTTTTAACGATGATTTATGCAAAACCATCTGTAACAAATCCACTGTTTTTGAGTTCATTGAACCAGCAGGTGCAACCTCAGACATCATGGTCAAGCAAGATGGCTGATCATGGGCCTGATCACAAACATCGGCTGTCAAGGAAGTTGATGGGCTACTGCCATTGATGGCCCAGATTGAAACTAATCCAACTGAGCCCACAATAGCAGCTAAGGAGAGAAGAACATAGAGAGCTTTAGAAGGAGAGGATTTTCTTTTCGGAGTGTCTACTAACAATGGTTGAGAGGAATTAGTAGGCATGACTTAGTAACAAAGTGGAATGAGCTTGAGTTTGTTTGCTGTGAATCTTGTCATTGCAAGTGTTCTTATATATATAGACTAAAAGCAGCACCAAATGTCTATTTCATAATTATTTTTGCCTACAACTTGCAAGAAAATATACATAAAGTAGCTGGAATTCAATAAAGCAGCTTTAAATTATTTTTTATAAGGTGGGAAAGGGATTAGGATAATTACAATAATACTTTTTCTAATTAATATGCTGCACATGTAAGTCCGATATATTGGTATTTTTTTCACTAACGCTAGTTCGTGCTTTAATATGATTGAATCTATGGATTTGTTTTTTCTCCTATTGAGTACTGGGCATCTGTTAATCTATGGACGTGTAGGCAATAGGCTTACATTTTGAATGGCACACATTGCTAGTTTAAGTATTCTTCTATTGCTAAAATTGTTCAAATGTCAAGAACTCGTGGCAAGTGGTGGCAATATATAGACTCATATAGCTTTCCCCTTCAATTAAACAAAAACTTCTTACCTATGAGGTATTGAATACCTGTGAATACAGAACCAAGAGCATATTTCAGCCTTCCTTTTGTATTTATCTGGACTCATGCGATCCATTTACTAAATCTATTCTAATCTATTGCAAAGTGACCCAACTAGAGCTTCACGTTGGAAGTAAGGTGGTAGGTGAACTGCTTAGAATTTTTTTTTAATAACATTAAGTCCGATAATCAGTCTTGATTTAATAACATTAGTCCGATAACATTAAAAAATTTAATATCATTCAGCCTTCCTTTTGTTTCCTTCGATTTAATTCGAATTAAAATGTTCCAGGTTCTCGCTAATCAGATTTAATTTGATTTGACCGATACGAACAAAAAAACTAAGAATTAGCGACGGACAAATTATATAGCTAAGTAGCAAAATCCGTCGCTAATCCTACATAGCGACAATTTTGCATCAGATTGTAAAAAAATATGCTAGCTACGAGCGATTTATCTACAAATTAGCGATGGAATTTAAAATTAATTCCAAATTTTTAGTTGTTGAATTAATACGAGTTAATTTCTAAACCAATCCGTTTTATACGCGTATGAAACATAACCAGACTGTGTTATAAGTTATACATAATTAGTAATATTATTCAAATGCACTTTTAACACGGTCAAGTTCAAATTAACATGCCTGTTTACCACCATATTTGTTGACTATGAAAAAAATGGTACAAGAATATTAACAGTTAACAACTACACCTATGAACAAACAAGCCCGTAAAAGTGAAAAAATTGGTGAATATTTTCAAATAAGACATAAAATAGAAAGTGCCTTTAATTTAGCTTCTTTAAGGATGTGGCAATGTATAAAATTTTGGTGTTAATTATTAAAGTGAAGGATAATTTGGCATGTTACTTCGATCAGCTAATTATTTTCAGACCAAAAAGAGTGAGTTCAGAAAAATAAAAAACTTTTTAAATTTGTTTATTCAATGCAATTTGTCATAATAGGACTAAATCTAAAATAAAAATTATTTGAAATAAAAAGAGATTAGAAAAACAAAATATCTAGCTCGTCACAGTAGGCTATATTATATTGTCAATTGATACAAATAGGGTGCAGGGTCACAGTTAATCCTTATTTATCTATAATCTTTAGTAAAGTAATATCTAGTTATTATTATTATTCATCTATTAATCCAGTTTTAATTTTCCAGATTGGTAGGTGCCAATATGCTCATAACTTCCATATACACATAGAGATACTAAATGGATCTCATAGGCCTTTAAAATATTGAAAAGTCATTTGAAGCAATAATGGATGTATCTTTAGGTTATTAATTAATCCTATAATTTAATCTTAGAGCATTATTGCTGACGCGGTAAAGTAGCCGAATTAGGTGATTAATGAATTTATTAAAGTTCTCAGAAACTTATTAATCTGTAATAGGGTGGCATACCATCATTTGATCACTATGATGAAAGAGCTGGCCTTTTCTTTTCTTTTCTTTTTTTCAATTTGTAAACAATAGTTTAGCTGTAAAACTAGATTGCACAATAGACTACTTAATATTTACTAATTTTATAACTTCCACTTGGATATTGTTATGTATCCTTTCTAAATAAACTAACCAGAAACCAAAAGTCCAAAACCATGGGCATCGTATAAGAAATTATTCCATGTTTAGAAAAAGCATGTTTTCTTGTCGCCGTTACTAATATAGTATGCAACATGCAAATTGCAATTACTTTTGATGAAGAAAATCTAGGCAGTATAGTTGTCCCCTGTATTAATAGTCAGTGATTGTATATTTTTTGCATAATAATGTGTAATATATATTTAATTTATATATTTTATGTAAAATCAATGTATATTTTTTATGTTTGAATAACAGCTATAATTATTTTTACATACCGTAAAATTTGTTAAAAACCTTTTATTTTTGTGGTGTACACTTTAGCCAGCAAAGTGGAATATGTAGATCTATGGGCCTCAGATTCCTTCAATCTCGAGTATCCATAAACGGATAATGTTAACATTTTACTCCATTTCGGAAATAATCGTTCGGTTTACAGTACATAGGTTAACACATTTTAAACTGAATTTAGATGTTGATTTTTGCAGTTATTTTAAAAGAGATTTACATATTTCAAATTACATAAAAACTTCTACGAATTACAGTTTTTTGGTTAAAGTTTTATTTCAATATAGCTTCTTTAGATATTGGAAGTATAAGTTTAGACTAATTTCTCACTAAATCGATCGTCTCGTGGATTTTTAACGATGATTTATGTAAAACCATCTGTAGTAAATCCACTGTTTTTGTATCCATCACACCAGTAGGTGCAACCTCAAACACCATGGCCAAGCAAGATGGCTGATCATGAGCCTGATCACAAACATGGGCTGTCAAAGAAAGAGATGGGCTGCTGCCATTGATGGCCCAGATTGAAACTAATCCAACTGAGCCCACAATAGCAACTAAGGAGAGAAGAACATATAGAGCTTTAGAAGAGGAGGATTTTGTTGTGGGAGTTTCTAACAATGGTTGAGAGGAATTAGTAGCCATGACTTAGTACAAGTGTGTAGTGAGCTTCAGTTTGATCTACGAATCATCTTCTCGCAGCCGGTGTTCTTATATAGACTAAAAAAAACCAAGAATGGCCAATGCTCGTATTATTTTAACATACAAAGAAAAAGTACTTAAATTAAAGCACAATTTAATAAAGCTACTTTAGTTTACTTTTAGGTGGTGAGGAAAGGTTCAGGTTTTTATTATTATAATAAATGTTTGACACATGTGAGTGTGAAATACGGGCAATCTGTTTTCCTAACGCTAAAGTCAGTCCTTAAATGAGTGTATGGATTGGTTTCTGTTGATCTTTTTCTTTGTCGATCTTTTTCTTTTCATGACAAAGCATGTACGTACGGTTAGTCTACAAATGAGCGCCTAGTATTCCATTTTGACAGGATGTGAATTGCTACTTGCTAGTATTAAGTGTATTTTGATGTAAGCTATATACACACAATATAATAGAAATTATTTTTTACATTATTAGTGTGATTTAACATGTAATAACATGTTACTATTATTTTTATCAAGTTATATATCGATATTTTTCATAGAGATTTTACATATATATATATATATACACACACACATACATATATATATAGAGAGATTAAATAAGTATAGTTAAATTTGTAATATGGTTTATAGACACGTGGATTAAATTGACTTGATTAATAAAATAATACAGTGCAAAGAAAATAAAATAAAGACAAGTGAAGAAAGAACAAGCCTAGTCTTCAGACTGATCCCACTGGAACCAAGAATAATTAGCGACAATACTCGTATAAAGCTTAAAAGAGTGAGAAAATAATATTAGTCTTTGTGTAATCAGTATTTCGTATTTTTCCAATGAGTATAAATATTATTATTTATAGTTAAATTTGAGAAGACAAATCCTCAAATCATACTCTTCTTAAAGATGAATAAAAATCCCAACTAATGGCTGCATAACCTTTGAGAATAAATGATGTGATTTTCTGTAACGGCTGCTCTTTTAATGATGCACTCTCCAACCGGTGCCTTACTTTCAAATTCATTTTTCCGACTTTGATACTCTCGAAATTTACACAATATCGATCACATGTATGTATTCGGTACCAGTTATTTGTTGATTTATTTTCACCCTATTATTAGTGACGCGTGTCTGCTTGAGATATGTATACTTGGAAGCCGTAAATTTTACCGAATACAATCTACCTTACAAGTGACTTAATTTTGTAGATATAATTTTATTCTACTGTTACTACATAAAATTTGAACCCACTATATTATGTACTAGCATTTATGCAGTACTGCAGAAACTGTTCAAATAATCATAAGCACTCGGATTATGATAAAGTATCGGTGTAATGATATCAGCAGCGATATAAAACTCTATTTTTAATTATAGCTCTAAGATAAGATATCAAATAGTACCTAATTGGCCCTTAAAGCATTAGAGTCATTTGAAGCATATAGAAATGAAGAACCAGGGTCAATGTGACCATACCATCATTCACACTGTAGCCAATGTTTAAGCAATTATTCTTGATCGAAACAGATATAAACCGCGGAATCAAATAGTCAGGATCACTTGCATGTAATATAGACAACACATAATCATGGACTTTAATCAAATATAAAATCGATACTTATCTCTTGAAGCATGATCGAGATACTAAATGGATCTCATAGGCCTTTAAAATATTGAAAAGTCATTTGAAGCAATAATGGATGTATCTTTAGGTTATTAATTAATCCTATAATTTAATCTTAGAGCATTATTGCTGACGCGGTAAAGTAGCCGAATTAGGTGATTAATGAATTTATTAAAGTTCTCAGAAACTTATTAATCTGTAATAGGGTGGCATACCATCATTTGATCACTATGATGAAAGAGCTGGCCTTTTCTTTTCTTTTCTTTTTTTCAATTTGTAAACAATAGTTTAGCTGTAAAACTAGATTGCACAATAGACTACTTAATATTTACTAATTTTATAACTTCCACTTGGATATTGTTATGTA